GTTGTGCAGATGACCACGGTCAGAGCTAGAAGTTAAATAATGGTCATTTATACTATAAGAAAGAAAACCACAAAGTCAGCTCACACCGTCTAGCAGCTTCTAGACATCAGTTGAGCCACATATGCCCCAGGACAAATGGCCAAACAGCTCTTCCAATAGGCACTTCAACACTAAGCCAGTGGCAAAGGGGCCTCAGTTTACAAGTTTGTGTATCAGATATTAATTCTGTCTGGACATTGAGACATTGATTTTCTATGAGACAGTTATTTAATTTCAAGATCATTCCATAAAAGATGTATGAATGAACATATATTGAATATGGACACATACATATTGTTTGACATGTGTCAAGCTAAAGCTAACTTTCCCAACACGGATTTTTACATCAAATGACTTCAGCATGAGCTTTTATCAGTTGATTTTATGTAATTTACCTGAGAACAGCTCTAATTTCAGCATTAGATTATTTCACATTTGACCCCAAATTTATTTATCATTAAACTGGAAATGTTTACTAAAACACAAATCTGCATGAAACCATTTTATAGTGAAGAACATTACTAATAACTTTTATGATTTTAAATGTATTTTTCTATAGCTTTCTTCTAATTTAATACATAAAATGGGATATATGTTGAAATTACAGTTTGCTTATGCATCAGATAGGCGAATATGCCAAAATTTCTAAAAGTATATAAATTTAAATACCAGACATAAAATAGAAAACTGGAATGCTTTATCTGTATTAATATTTCTCCATTTGACTTAATCATTTATTTTTGTTATAAAGAAGTATACTTAAAAATATCAATTAGTATTTGAAACTCAAGCTAAATTAGCACTATTCATCACACTACCAAACAAAAAAAAAAAGAAAAAAGAAAAACCAGAAAAACATCACCCCATAATAAAAACCAAACAATAACAACAACCAAAACACTACCTAATTCTGTACCATATGAACCTTTTATAAAGAAAGCAGTCCTATGGAAACCAAAGAAGCAAGTAATTATTTGAGTTCATAAAATCTATTTTCCAATTTTCTTTATACTTCCAAACTAACATTTAATGACTATATGATTGATTACAAAAGTTTTCAGTAATATAATTATTTTTAGGTGCATATGTGCAGTCAGCAACATTTTTTTGCAAAATCTTTATATTTTTCAAAATAATCATACATATTTATATTGTTTTAAAGTTTAATGTGCTTCTGTTCATGTGGTAATCCATGGATTTCAAAGAGTTCAAGAACTATTATGAAGGGATACACACACACACACACACACATACACACACACACACACACACACTTGTGTGTGTGTGTGTGTGTGTGTGTGTCTCCAATTAGGGTTGAGCACTAAAAGAACACATAAGAAAGATGATACTAAACAGAACACATTCCATTCTAAAGGATAGCCAATGCTAGAAAAGCAAACTTATAATGAAAATATACATTGGAGGACAAAAATAATCAGAGGGAGAAAACTTGATTAGGAATTAAGTTTTTCAAATAGAAGTAATACAAACAGGTTTACTAAACTATTATTTTTTAAATTTTGGTTTTAATTATAAGATATGCAACAATTTTAAAATGAATAAAACATTAGATGTCATGCATATTCTTAAACAATTCTATGTGACGCAGTATTCTCTAAAATTCTGTACTTTATGTTTAACAAGGAAAGTATAGTTGTAAAACATTTGAGGGGACCATCCTTTTGCTTAAGGGTATCACTTATGACTTTGTATTAAGACAATGATGACAATAATGACAAAGGAAAAGAGGTTAATAGTCATGATTTATGAAGAACTTACTATATTCCAACGTTGTTTAAAAGATTCTATGCATATTATTATAATCTGCTGTGAGGATTAAATAAACCATGAACCAAATGTTATGATATTTATATCATTGTGTCTAAGAGCACACAAATCCACTTTTCTGAAAACTTCAAGAAGTGTTCAACTATTTTCCCACCTTTCTCTTAGCCTGTTTCTTCATACAGCAGAGTAAACTCTTAAAAATGTTTATCAATTCACAGCTTGACCAAAAGCCTGCAATGGCTTCCCATTTTACTTTAAAAGAAGAAGTCAATATTCTCGATATGCTGACCAAGAGCTAACATGGCCTTACCCCAACATATTGGTCTCTTTGGTATTGTTCAGATTTGCCACATTGCTCTCTCCTTGAAAACTTGATCCTGATCCTTTCCTCCACCTGGGGTGTTCTTTCCTAGATTGTACACCAGAGAGTCCTTTTCCTTGTTTTAGATCTCTTCTTAGACACTACCAACTCAAAAAACTCTTCCCTACTCCAAAATAAAGGAAACTTTCCCCCAGACTCTTATTCAACTTTTTATTCACAAAATATTTGACACTATCAAAAATAGTATGATGTTTTTAATTTTGTTTCATGTTTTTTTAAATATCTAGTCCTCCTTTGCACCTGCCCCCAAATCTACCACTAGAATGTTGCTGGTACTTGTGTTTGCTACTATATATAATCTGAACCCATAGAAAAGTACTTGGTGTTTACTAAGTGTTCAATAAATATTTATAGTTGAATTGGATTATTCTGATCAACTTTCCAACTTTCTCTTCATGCTTCAGTTGAGTTAAATCTGCTTGATCCATATTGTTTACATGGAATCTAGGCTCAATGATAACCACATAACACACACACACACACACACACACACACACAATACACACATAGACTTTTATAAACTTACTTTGAAAAGCATCTCAAAAGAACAATTGAGCTTTGTTGAATTATTGTGTTACAATTTAAATTTCATAAAAGAAAAATCTTTTACCTATGAAAAATTAAAGAAGTAGAAAGTCTATCCACATGGTAGGTACATCAGTATAATATAAGAAATATATAATTATATAGTATATCATATCAATATTAGAATATAATGTATATGTGTATAATGAATAAATAAATCAGATATTTGAAGTACATTAAGAACTATTTTATATAATACAGTTTTTTGAAGACCTATATCATTCTAAAGAAAACTGTTGATAATGTTTTCATTAAGCAATATTATTTATTCTCAAATATGATTTTACTATGTCTAGTTTCTTTAAAAATTTATTCATTTGCATAAGTCCAGGTTTTTATTTTGCTCTCGTTATCTCTAATCTTAATCAATGGACAACCCCAAATACTTTCATAAACATTGGTGGAAGGTTACAAAATCTATACCCTAACCTCTTCCATCCTATTGATACCCATGATTTTATAATGTGTTTTTCCCCATTAAATGTGCTTTCTGAATAATGCAACCATTGTGCTACAGCAAAACAGCATGTATTCTGCATCAGGCATCAAAGATAATTTTAGAGATGGATAACACAAAATCACAAACGGACCAGTGAAAGAATATTGTCTGCTGAATTACAATTCACATCATAAATCTTTATTTCCTGCTTTAGCACATGTATCAGAATGATTTTCAAGTGGCTATCAGATGTGGAACTAAAAAATCACTAAGACTTACTGTTTAGAGCAATATTGGTACCTCTACTTTAGGCTACAGAAGGACAATGAATACACAGATAATGATTATTAATCATGCTCTTTCATTAAAAGTCAGCATGCTATAATAAGAAATATAATGTATATGAACCTGAAAGAATATCTATGATAAAGAACCTCAAGAGCTACGTGTTTGGTAGTTTGTCTATGAAAACAAAGCACATAAGCAAAAACATGCCTTCTTTGACAAAAGAGATGTCCAAATGTACATCTGTGTTTTCTGAAGTTGAAGGCTTTCATGAGTGAGATGGAGGGGCACATGTCACACACTGACACTGGCCATCTCAGGGAGGGGAGGAGTGAAGGAGGAAATGATGAACAACTTTCTCCTTGTATGTGTCTGTTTTGAGTTTCACAGAGTATTACTTTAACCATAATTCCATGTAATTATATGTATTTAAATGTCTATATGTACTTACATAATTTATTTATATATGCTTATATAATTTACTTAAATGAATTCTAATTATATTTCACATAATATACAATTACATATCTATAAAGTATTTAATGATATATTATTATACACCCATATAATTTTTGTACACATACACACACACTTGAATTCACCAGTTGTTTTCAATTTAACGTAGCTTTTCTCTTTAATTTTTCAGGCTATATCAAGTGTACTATTTAATCATCTGTCTTTGGGTAAGAAGTGTTATCAACAATAAGTACATTTTAATTTCAGCAAAGAACATAAATCTGTTTCATTAAAGTAGTACTTTATGAAAATATTGCTTAATAATTTAGCCAAAGCACCCATTTTTAATTATTGTAGTAAGTAATAAGAAAAGTACAATATTTCTACTTTGCATCTGATGAATGCAATTTCAGGAGAAAATATATAGCTAATTAAAAATCTTACTGTAACTAAAAAACATATTAGGAGTCCTGGTTTGGAAAGAATAATGGATGGTAATTTATAAAGATTAGATGTGAGTGTATTGCATCTAACAGAGGTCATCTAACTTCAGTAGAGAAACAAAGAACTGTTACCACATCTATTTCATTTGGTTTAATAAGTAGATATCCTAACTGACAAAAGTTTAAATTCAGCAAAAGTGTTATCATTTTCAGTACAGTAGAAACAAGTATGTGATTGTTATAATAACATTGAATTTGTAAACATTTGCACCAAAAGGGGGAAAAAAATCTGTAAGGGTAAAGAAAAGGGACACTGAATTAGAAGGGAAATACTTTTGTTGACTTTTCTCAAAACTGGGCCTGTACTGCAGCTTGCCGACTCCAAAAATTAATAACCAAAAAAGTTGAGTTAAAAACATTTTGGCCTCACATGAAAATGTGATTTGAGAATAGGGCTTCTATTCACATTGTATTCCCTACATTAACTTACATAATTAGAAAGACCAAATAAATCATCAAGTGACATATGGAATGTTATAGGGCAACATTAAAATATAATGCCTTTCAAATAAGTATGACTTACTCTTATTTCAGAGTTCTCCCATTACAATGCCATTTTAATGATCAATAACCTGAAAGAAAAGGAAATAAGATATGATCATTCTTAAAAATTTCCATGAACTAACACACTCTCAAGTCATTCACATTGCATTTATTCTAAAATTTTAAAAAACATACTAAAACTAAAGCATCATTATTAAAAATGGAATGTATAAGGGACTTAAAAGTTTCATCTTAGCATCTATCCATTGAAACCATTTTTTCTATGATAAAAGTAGCTACCCTTTTAGATTATTCAAAAACCATTGCACCATATGAGCAATATCAATAAAGTATTTTACCAGGAATAATTAATTCAAGTCATCACATGACTGATTTTTAAGTTTGGAAATATATAATTCCTAAACAATGAAATTCAAGTCCAGCCACAGTTATGTGTATTAAAGTCAAATTATACTTTGCTAGTGTTATTGTTGTTTACAAAATGCAAAAAAAAAAAATTTAGAGACAAAAGACTGGCATATGGGTGAACATAAAAAATACCATAAATTATTTTTAATGTCTATAAATTTATAAACATTTCTTAAGTCATAGGGATCATTAGTGAAATGTTACTTTAAAATATAATTTTATATGAAATGTTAATATATCATTATAAAGTCTAATGTCTAAAGTTAAAATACTTAAGACGCTATTTCAATTTCTTCAGAAATGTTTTAAAATAAATCATTTCATATCCTTTGCTTGCAATTCTTTATTAACCAATCTTATTTGCACTCCTATCCATTCACAAATTATTTATCCATAAGCATAAATAAAAGAATTTGAAATAAGGTTAAGATTGTGGAGAACATATGCTTACTGATGGTATTTTACAAATCATATTCCAAAACTGTCAGAAGCTACAAATATTAAGAAAATGATTGATGGGCTAGTCCAGTTTTTCAAACAGGAGAATATTAATATAAGCAGTAGAAAGAATATTTTCCTCTGTTGACCTAGTTCATTCATAGTTGGCAAAATATTTGGAAACTAAAACATTAAGGAGAGCTTGTCCTCTTTCCAGACCATGAATATGCAGAAAGAAGAAAGCAGAATTGGAAATTATAGCTTAATGCTTCAAGATTTTCATTTTAAGCTGACTTTGTCTATTTTCTAATTAAAAATTCTACATGTTTCATAAATAAACATATATGTAATATATATTTGTTAAAATTAACAATATGTATAATATACATATATGTATTTTTTAAAAAGAAATAATACTTGATTCATTTAAAAGTGAAATAAACTACTTAAATTGTTGAAAATAAGCTCATATAAGCTGTTAAAAATCAAATTTGAATGAATCTGCATTTATTAAATAAAGTAATATAAGCTTCTAGCCAGTTTTATGGTTTCTGTATCCCTAATGGAACATAAATGAAAATAAACAAAAGTCTTTAATTAATTGTTGGTGCCTATAATTTTCTGTAAATTTCCCCAGTTAGTAGAGTCTATAGTACATTAGTTTATCTTTAATTTCCACACTAGAAAAAGTTAGTTAAGATTTGAAGAAACCTAATCACGATCCACTCTATTAACTAATATTTCCTTTTCAATAGTTTTTACTATTATATATGCCAGGGGCAACTGTGGCAAACGTTTAAAATTTCCAAATATTGCCCTGTGAAGTAACACGTGGGAGCCTTAACACGTATAAAAGATTGTTAGAAATAATTTCTCATTGATGAGACAAGTAATGATTGAGCAGAAATATTGGGCAACCAAGTCCCACTTGTGTGACTGAAGAATAAGAAACCCCAGTTTAAGGCTAAGAATCTTGCATCTTCAAGATAGCACACTCGATCTAGAGTCTCTTTGACTTGTTACCCAGCCCTCAGTGTGTAGGAGGGCCCTTTGCCTGTTACTGTTTGAAGGCTGATTGAATTTGCAGCAAAACTTTCCAAGGTGGCATCCCCAAAAGAGAATAATGACTACCTCTAGGTTATTGGAAAAGGCTGTTTGTTTTTGTACCTGAGTAGTAAAAATTTTTATATTTGCAAAAAAGTCAGTCTGTAACTCATTGTTTGTTTTTACTTAAACCACCTGGTAGTGAGGTTGTATGAGAAGTGACATTTAACTCTTACTGGCTCATTGCCAATGGTCAAAATATGAACAATATTGTTAATTTACGATATCATCCTATTAAAGAGGTGAACTGAACTCTGGTTCAGGTTATTCAGTTTTGCCAGAGAAAGTAATGATCAGTGAGGATGATTTAGATTATGCTGTGGACTTAAAATAACAAAATACCAGTGGACTTAAAATAACAAAAGAGCCTCCTTGACACTATATGTCTATTACAGGCTAGCATGGCCTCTCTGCTTATGGTAGCAAGTAAGATAAGCAGTATAACATGGCAACTCCATCTCAAATGTGCAGAGCAATGGAAGAAAACCAACAATTAAATGCTCTGGCCCTCAGCATAACACTTAACTGGCCACTACTCAGTTTCTAGCTCCATATGAATCACAGAGGGCTAGGAAATGAAGTGCATTTCTCTCATGTGCCCAGAACAGGGGAGAATCAGAAATACTTACTGTTTAAATTATGTAGGAATTCAGTACCTATAATTTAAACTGAATGTTTCTGCTTTGACTGGACTATCCTAAAGTGAAAGTATATCCTAAAATTATACTTTTTTTCCCCCAAGAGAAAAACAATTAAATTTGGTTTTGCTATTTAACTAAGGTTGAAATCTATATGACTGAAATTTACGCTAACTCAAACATCCTAGAATATGAGCAGGCCAATTTAAATATATAAATGATATTTAAAAAATCATTATTTTGCAATGGGAGATCCTTCTTAAAGAATGGAAATATATTTACAGATTTCAACACAAATGGCCAAATCTTTATGTGCATACTAATGACAATGAGTCATTATGAGTTAAATGGAGATTTATGGATCCTGAATTAATATTATGATTTACTATATCTGTTATTCAAGTACAAAAAAAATCTACATTTTATAGTACACACATTTAATTCTGAAGCAGCAAGTGCTTGGTTCCTGGGATTACATTTTGAGAAGGAATCTGGATGGTTGGCTCCAAGTAGCAAGGATCGTAAGCATGAACTGAATTGGAGGAAGATTAAGTAGGGGTTTTACCAGTATATGGCAAATTTTACTTAGTTGTCAAAATTATATTATTAATAAATGCATGAAGAGAATATTTGACTCAGTAGTCTCAAGAACATAGGATAAGATAACGATGCAGTGATACAGCCTCCCTGTGACACATGGAAATCTTGAAAAACTGATACACTGTGGGGCCCATTTCAAATCATACCATTCTCTTTATAGATGGTTCTTAACTTGGTAGTTCCTATCCAGGCTCATGTATCCAACTTCTTCCTCAGTAGTTACAATTGGATAGACCAAAAAGGTCAATCTTTATTCATGCAAGGTCATATTCTTTATACTCATTCCCAAAATGCCTCTCCTAAAACCTTTTCCATCTTTATTAATTCCTTTAGCCACTCAGACCAAAAACCTAGGAACCATACTTGATTCCCCCTTTTCCCTGCTGTTTAATTAAGAATTCTTTTTTGTTTTTCAATCACTCAGCAAAGCTATATTTTCTTTAAAGATTCCTTCCAGACTCAGGCTGCTTCCTGTCACCTCCTTCATTACCAACCTTGTCTAAACCACAGTATTCTCTCATATGGACAGCTGTAATACCTTCCTAAAGGTCTCTTCAGAGATGTGCAGGTCAATGTTTATAAAGAGCTTTATTTTAAAATAATAAATGTTTTGATGTTATAAAAAAATAGAAAGAAAAAGGAAAAAGGTAGAAGGAAGAGAAGAATGATTAAGGAAAAGAAAGAAGGAGATAAGAGAGAAAGAAGAAGGAAGAGGAGAAAAAAGGGGGAAAAATAAAAGATGGAAGGGAAAGAAGGAAGGAGAAAGAAAAGGAGGGATGAGTGAAGGGAGGGAGGAAGTAGGGAAGGCATATAGGCAGGCAGACAGACAGGCAAGAGGAAAGGGAAAAGAAAGAACAGAAAGCTTCCAACCACTGCAGAATCTCAGGTCGTAAGCACTCACACCATGGCTAACTGAGTCCCAATGGCATGATCTGGAAAGAGAGGAGCACAGTGGTGTCTAGTGAGTTGAGAGGAGTGAGTCCCAACACCATAATGGTTCTTCCTTCTTTCACAGTTTATATAACCTTTTCATCATGACACAGCAGCCAGTGACATCTGTGTCTGAAGATGCACTCCTCGACCAAAAGCCTACCAGAGATGTTTACCAATCCACTCAGAATAAGATCTCAAGTCTAGGTATGTGCCCAGTACTCTCCCTTACTTCCTCCTGGGCTTCGAATAAATAGCACCTAATCAGGGAACGCTGTCCTGAACATCAGACATAAAATGGCACAATGACCTTCACTCTTCAATCCTTCAGCTTACTTTATGGTTCTTTATAGCACATTTTACCACCTGACATTTATACAGAGTTATTATTATCAATATTTATTAGTGTCTGTCTCCTTAAGGACACAACTATTGGTTCACAGCTATCTCCCAGTTCCTATAACATTTTTTGTCACATAATAAAGTAATAAAATCTTATTGACTAAAGAGACATACAGTACACAAGCAAATAAGCAAAGAAGGCGATTTGGGGCAATGAAAAGTTCCACAAAGCAAGGAAAGGAGGATGGGGAGTGATCTCATGGTGGGGGCAGCATGGGCCTGTGGATGGCGGATAGCTCAGATTAGAATGACAGTGTAACTAGTATAGTCTGACATGAAAAATAAATTAATTGCAGGATAAAAGAGTACAGCAGCTTTTCAGATGATTTAAGGGTCTTAGAAAAAATTAAAACAAATTAGATTGTTAAGACGTGTTCTCAAAAACCATACACTGAATTCTGGAATGATAAAATAAACAAAAAAAATTACATTTCATTTAAAGGAGAAGGGAAAGAGGCAGAAAGTTCACCCCTTCTAGTTCCCATTCCAAGTTTTCAATTGGGAGGCATATTATAGAATTCAAGGAGAAACCCTTATACCTATACAAA